TTTGGTCTAGGCCACCTTTGTCGTCGCTCCCGACCCCTGAGATTCGGCGCCCGCCTGCCGCGCCATCGCGTTCCCCTTGGCAGCCAAGGAGCAGGAAACGATGCCGCCCGCAGCGAATAATCATAGCGTCGCAGCGTCTACGCCCAGCCGTCGACCGCTTGACCTTTCGGAGTCAGACTGAGAGACCGCCAGGAGTGGGAACTGCACTGTCGCTACCATCCCTGGCGTTCGTACCCAGATTGGGATTTCCCCATCGGGCATCTTCTCGACTCTTGCGCAAGGATCGCGCTCTTTGCCGTCTGAGGACCGAACGACGCTTCGATCGACCTCCTGTTTTGTTCCGGGATCATCCCGGCCAGTCTCCAGCCTGGCCCGCCCCCACCTTCCGAGGTTCTTGGCCGCAGCGCGCGCGCGCGCGCCGCCGCGGCGGGCCATCCAGATGCCCACCGTGTTTCCCATCCTGCTTTTTCATCTGGCATCACACAAGAATGCGCGTAGGACATGGTGATCGAGTGCTCACCAGAACCTTTGCACGCAATCCGCATTGCGCAGGAGGCCTACCCGAACGTCGCGTCTGCGACTCAGGGCAGCTCCGAAGAGCATCTGGAGGTGGAGAACACGACAAACACAGACGTGCCGAAGACATCGAAGATCCTCACAAATCAACGTAATTTCCTCATCCGCATCACGAAGGTTCCCGCCGAGACCTCCGCCGAGCAGCAGCTTCCTCTGCCAGCGCATGCGTTTGTAGCGCTTCCCGCACATCCAGAGAGCTCCCCCCCTTCAAACACAGTGCTGCCAACGAGTCCGCGCCGTTGCAGGATCCGACCGCCGTTCCCCCCCCCCATCCACCCTCGCCGACCGGAAGGGAGTTTGCCCGGCTCTTTTGCGCGGCGGTCCCATTTCTTGTTCGGCGAAATACGGTTCCATAATTATTTGGGCCGCTGGCACTTTGGCGAACGCTCTCTATTCCGCCGTGGAGTTCTGCTTCCGCTGCGCTGCGAGCCGGAGCTCGCTGACCCGCCGCGACCGTCGGGCCATCCCCCGCACCTTCCCCAGTCTTGACCTCGCCCCCTGCGTTCCCGCGACAAGTGGGGATCGAGTCCCACGAGGGCGCGACCTCGACCGGCTTCAATGTGGCCACGATCGGGGAAACAGCTGTGAAACTCCCGCTTAAGATCATGGGGCCGACGGCGACCCTCCTTTGCGGCCTCTTGGAGGCGGCCCCGCCAGCGAATTCCCGCATCGCAGCAGCGAAGGTAAATTTCGCTAACGACGCGCAGTGCATTTTCTCTTGGAGCGGACGCACGCAGGACTTCTGCGAGCGCTTCGGCCGCAGAGGGGCTCCGCTGGGGCAGGGCTGCGACAACCGCGTCATCTCGTCCTCTTGCCCTCTGCCAATCCGACCGCCCGAGGATAGATGTTTAGTTCAATGATGGAGGCCCCCCCCCCCTCTCGCGAGACGTCCCGCCCCCTGTCCGCGCTTCCTCTGTCGCGCTGACAGGACTTGGCTGGCCTCTGCATCGCCCCGCAGCGCACTTGCGACCTGTCCCACGAGGACAACCAGACGTACATTCGCAGCGAGCTCGAAGACGTTTTGCCGAACATCGTCGCGCCTTTCGAGCTCGGCGAGGAGGGCGTGCCCGAGGACGGCCCGGCGCGTCAGCTCCTGGGGGAGTTCAAGCAGCAGCCGCACATCCACGTCAACGCGTTTTGCTCGGTTCGCGGGTATTCTAAGCCGCTCGAGGCGAAAATCTCTTATGCGCCTCATTTTGCCTTGGGGCAGAGGCATCACATGGCTGCTGAGACTCCCTCCCTTCCCGCCTCTCTTTGCGCCGCATCCGGACTTGACGCAGCAGCGCTCTCGGTCCCAGAACCGGCAGCGGCGACGCAGGGGGAGGGATGGCGACGACGATGACGACGAGGAAGTCGAGGGCGCGGCCGAGGACGGCGGCGATGACAATGACGTCGTTTTTGTTGTTGGACTTCGGCCGTTCCAGAACGGCCGCCGGGCCCTGGAACCGTCAGAAACAGTGCTCGTCCTCATCCTCCTCCTCCTCTTCCTCCTCCTTCTCCTGCTAGTTCCCCTCCTCGCGTTCGTTTTCGCGGGCCTTGTCGTCGTCCTCCCCTGGCTTGGCAAATATCGCTCCAGTGCGAAAGCAACAGGCACACACACACACACACACGCACACGCGCGCACACGATCACCACGCAAGCACCCACACGCGTCGTAATGCCCCAGGCGACAGCTCCCCGTCTCGTTTTTTGTTGTTATTCAAAATTTCGCGATCGACCGCGGGTGCTTCAGCCTTTTGCTACCCTGTTTATTTGCTCGGAGCGGCTGAACCCCACGAGCCGCCAGACCTTGAATAGAACTGCGCGGCGGCGCCAGCGTCTTTGCGCATCCCCCCGCCCGGTCGCCCACCACACCTCCACCTGCACCTACGTGACGTTTCAATCGTGTTTCCCGCCGCCCCCCCGACATCCCCGCCGCCGCCAAAGCCGCCCCCGCCTTCTCGTCATCGCCGTCGTCGTCGTCGTCGCCGTCGAGGTTCGAGCTCGGTGCCTGGAAGCCGTCGTCAAATCTGGGACCCCCAGAGTCAAGTCCGAATCGGAAGAGGGTGGTATTGGCAGCGTCCCGAGCGACAGCCAGAGGCCCGAGTTCGAGCCCACCAGCGCATTTTTCTTGACGCCGCCGCCGCCAACGCCGTCGTTGTCGCCCACGTCATCGTCGTCGTCGTTAATCGCCCACGTCATCGTCGTCGTCGTCGTCGTCGTTGTCGTCGTCGTCAATCTTTTTATGCGGGTTTGGCGCCTTCGAGACGTTTTCGACGCCGTCCGCTGCCGGAAGCAGTCAAGGGAGGAGAGACCACCCGGACCGGACAACTGGCGTCTTTTAGACGGCTCTGGGCGTTCACTAAGCAGCCTTGCCCTGTTCGATTCCTTCCTTGGGCGCGTGTGCTAAACGGCTTCGCGTGGTAGGGAAGGAGTAAGAAGCATGGTCCCCTCCCTCTTGTGGCCCCCCCCCCCTCTTGTGGGCGTGGTAGGGTTTAGCACACGCGCCCAAGGAAGGAATCGAACCTTGGGCCCCCCCTCTCTTGGTAGGGGGGGGGCCCATAAGAGGTGAATTTTCTGCCCTCAAAGCAGGGTGGGGAAGGAGTAGAAAAGCGGAGGGTGCCGCAGGCGTCCCGCAAAAACGGCCGCCACAGGGGCCCGAGCGACCGCCCCCCAAAAGGCGATTTTCCCCTCGGGCGCCCCTGCCACCGCAAAACCGTCGCAGTCGCCCTCCTCGTGATTGGAGATCTCCTCCTCCTCACTCTCCTCCTCCTCCTCGTCCTCGTCCTCCTCCTCCTCCTCCTCCTCCCTCTCCTCCTCCGCCGCATCGCCTTCGCGGCGACCCGGCGCCATCCAGAGCCTGAGTTTCTCTCTCACGGTCGGGGCCCAGGGACACGCAAATGAATACACACAAGTCACAGGAGCCCCCATATTTTTCCATAGTTTCTGGGTTTTTGCCTGCCCCCCACTTCCCACATTTTCCCACATGTTCTTGGACATCGACGATTGATCGTGTCTGTGTGTTTGTTCCCTCCCGAGTGGTCGTCGTCGCTGTCGGCGGCCACTATTTCCTGCCGAGCCGGCGCCCGGATGCCGCTCTTTCGAGCCCGCGGGCCGCCGAAAGGAGGAGGAGTGGAACGAGGAGAGCGTACAGAGGAGGAGGAGGAGGAGGAGGAGGAGGAGGAGGAGGAGGAGAAGGACGACGACGAGGGGGAGGAGAAAGAGGATGATGAGGAGGAGGAGGAGGAGGAGGAGAACCCCTCCCGAAGGCACACGGAGGAGAGGCCTGGAGGCGTCCCGCGAGTGGCCGCTCCTTGCCCCGTGTGGCCGCCGAAGAGCTGGTGCTGTCGCCCGCCCCCGCCGTGGTCGGGATCCTCGTGGCCATTCTCGTCGTTTTTGCCGTCGTCGTCGTCGTCGTCGTCGTCGTCGTCGTCGTTTTTGCCGTCGTCGTCGTCGTCGTCGTCGTCGTCGTCGTCGTCGTCGTCGTCGTCGTCGTCGTCGTCGTCGTCTACGTCGTCTACGTCGTCTACGTCGTCGTCATCGTCGTCGTCGTCGTCGTCTTCCTCGTCGTCGTCGTCGTCGTCGTCGTCGTCGTCGTCGTCGTGTGCGTCGTCGTGGCATTCTCTCCTCGACGATCCGAGCCGGGGGCCGGTTTTTGAACCCAGGGGCCGCGAGACACGATCCCGGATGTCCCAGACGGCCGCCAGACATCGGTGGCGGCAAAAAAAACATCGGTGGCGGCAAAGAAGGGGGTGATGACTAGGGGGGGTGGACATCATGGCCTGGGCCATGATATTTCCCCGAGATCTCATGGCGCCCCTTCTCATTTCATGACGTCCCAGGCCCCCCCCGCTGGGCCGCGCACGTGCCGCCGGTCAGGATCTGCACCCCACCCCCCTCTCTTGGGCCCCCCCCCCTCTTGTGGCCGCTCCCGAAGACGCCCGAGAGGTGCATGCCAAAAACGCCGTTCCGTGTGCCGCCCGCGGCTGCCGCCGCCGCCGCCGTAATTAGTCGCCCGCGTCGGGCGGCGCCCGCGTCGAGCAGCCTCGGGGTGCCGGCGGCCAAGCGCCTCGCCGCCGCGGAGGGCAGCGTTTCGCCGGCAGGTGCCGCCGCTCCCCCGAAGGCCGCACCAGAGAGATGTCATGCCAGGAGGGGAAGAAACACACACAGACGCAATGAATCGTCGATCCCCCAGCAAATATATGGAGATAACTATGGGAAATGGGGGGGAAGACAGAAACCCCACAAATATGGGAAAATATGGGGGAAGCTGTTTACTGGTGTGTATTTATTTGTGTGTCCCAGGGCCCCTTCATCATGGACGGGGTCCACGGGCCAGCCCCAGGTCAGCTACAGTGCTGGGATCAGCGCGTGCGAGAAGGACGGGCAGTGGCAGCGGGCGCTGGCGCTGCTCCGCGAAATGCGCGAGGGGAAGCTGGAGCCCAATGTCATGATCTCTACACTACCGAGGCGAATGCGCGGCGGAAAGGGTCTGCGGACTGATGGAGGGTAATGGCTTCGGAACGCTTTTTCGGACAGGCTCAGATGGCCCCGAGACGGTCCAGGGTGGCCCTAGACGCTTCCAGTTTATCCAAGAGATCGCCAACACGGCCTTCAGACGGCCAAGCAGGGCCCAGAGATTGCCCAGGAGGGCTCCAAAAAGCCCCCAAAGGGGGACCCAAGAGGGCGAAATCAGGTTCTCGAGGATGTTGGCGGGTTCGCCTTTTCAAGCTCTGACATTCCAAGACGGCCCAAGAGACCCCAGATATCGCTTGAAGACGGCCCAGCGTGCCCCCATGAGGGCCCCAAGACGGCCCAATATGGCCCCAAGGCGGCCCGAGAGGCGCCCAAAACGACCTAAGACGGTCCCGAGAGGGCCCCGAAAACATGGCGTGCCGTCCGCCCCAAGATGACCCCCGAGACCGCCAGCAGGCCCCCAAGAGGCTCCCCGGAAGCCCAAGGAGGCACCCAAGACGCCCAAATGAGGCCCCGAGAGGCCCCGAGACGCCCCAAAAACGATCTGTGACCGCGTCGGCCGCCCAAGAAAAGCCCACGAGCGACCCAAGGGCAGACCAGATGTTCGGCCCCACGCGCGCCGAGGCCATCGAGACATGCGTGCGCTGGCCTCTTCTCCTGCCTCCCACCGGCTCTCCCTCTCCTCGCTCCTGGCCCCTCCCTTCTCACACCCCCTTGCTCCTTCCACTGCTCTCCTGGCCCTTCTCGTCTCCCTCCTGGCTGCTGGCGTCAGCCTCCCTCCTCTTCGCCTCTCCCCCATCCCTCACCACCTCTCTCTCTCTCGCTTTCTCTCCAGCGGTCGCTTCTCCCTTCTCGATCCGCATCCGCATCCCTCGCGACTCGCTCCTCGCTTCGCCCGCCTCCGCCTCGACCCTGGCTCCTTGCTTCCTGGTGCTCGCTCCTCGCTCCTCGCTCCGCTCACGAGCTGCAGATTGTGCCATACAGCAAGGGTGCCGAGAAGAAGCGCCCTGCAGCCTCAAAGTCCACAGCAGGCAACGGCAGCACAGCAAAAGCAAGCAGCAGCAACATGCCGCAGGCAGCGCAACCTGCAGCTGTAGGCAGCAACTGCAGAGACGAATTCCGGGCCCAACGCTATCACGAAAGGCTTTTGGTAACACCTCTGCCCTGGTACAACCTGCCATCTCGGACAGATTTTATGGCGGTCAGGCCACAGGTCAGACCTAGCCAGTATTACACTTCTGGGAGTTGAGCGTGCGAAAGGGCCTTGATGTGAAAAAGCTGCGCCCGAGCGCCCGGAGCGCCCCAGCGCTCTCCGACGGCTCCAGTGAGCCCCTCGGAGGACCCAAGACGGCTTCTAACAGCCCCAAGACAGTTCTGAGACGCTCCGGAGCGCCCGAGACAGCTGCGAACGGAGCCCCAGATAGCCCAAGACGGCTCGACGACGGGCCGGGCCAGGTGCCTCGGAAAACCGCTGAACTGGTCCCCGATGGCGCTCACCCGAGGCCCAATGGGTTTTGAATGCTTTCCATGTTCTCGCCATTCCTCCTCCTCCTCCTCCGCCTCCTCCGCCTCCGCTCCTCTCCTCCTCCTCCTCCTCCTCCTCCTCCTCCTCCTCCTCCTCTCCTCCTCCTCCTCCTCCTAGGCCCAATGGGTTTTGAATGGTTCCCATGTTCTCGCCATT